AAAAAAAAAAATATATATGAGACCTGAACCAAACAAAGCCGAGGTCTATAGAAAAATTGTTAACAATGACATGAAATAAATTTAATGCTAGGTTCGAAAAGCGACCGAGCGAAGCGAGATGAAAGTTATATAAAATAAATGATTAAATATCGACCTTTTATTTATAGTTTTATAATCCTATTCAAAACACAACTAATTCAGTTTCAAATTTGCGATTGATTCAGTTTCAAAGTTTAAATTAATTCTGGTTAAATTTGCAGTTGATTCCGTTTAAATTACAATTAGTTCTAGCATATGAACGAAATTTTTGATGGAAACGTTGTGCTTATTAAAATTAAGTAATGTACGTAATGATTTATTAGAAATATTTTATAAATATTGTGCAGCTTCATGATCAGTTTCATAAGCAATTTATTGCTAAGAAAATGATGATTTATAATTGTTATGCGATTTCATAAACGGTTCATAAGCGATTCATAAGCGGATTAATAGTTAAGACCGGAGATCAAACAATATCAATTCCATTTTACCGTAGATTATGAAATGTTATCATTAATTTTTATAATCAAATCGAAAAAAAACCGCCCGCATGTTAAATTTGCAATTATAACGGTTTGCAAAATTTTGTGCAGTTTGCAGATCATCAAAATAAAAAGAAATCGCTCGATTTTTAGATGATTTTTAGCTAATTTTCTCATTTCTTAAATTACTCCGATGTCTGAGTATGAAATCAGAAATTACCAAAAATCGAGTGATTTTTTTTTTGATGATCCGCAAATTTCACAAAATTTTGCAAATCACAAGTAACAAATCAGATAGGATTTTACCTACTTTGCTAAATTCTTACTTTTTTTTCCAAAGCCAAAAAATATTCTTTGTTTTGTTTCTTTTTCTGATCGATTGAAAAACTATTTTTTATCAGAATCGTTTGAGAATCACTTATAATTTTTACTAAAATTAAATTAGTTAAATAATTAGTATTGAACCAATAAAGATAGTTTCTTTTTTTTAATAAGAAATCAAAATAAAACCAATTAATAATTAGAATAGGGTATACCTATAATCTAATCATTGAAAATCGTATGACTTTGATACAACATTTAATATAAAAAAAATTTATAATACAGGTATATGAAAATAGCTACAGAAATGTCCTCAAACCTGAGGTAATTCAAGGTCTGAGTGTTACGATAAATTATTCAAGTATCGTATAACTATATAAAATTGCAATATGCATGTGAAATTAATCGTTCAAATGGAGTGATTCAGTAAACTTTTTATGAGTCATAATTCCACTTCTACTTATCCGTTTAACTGGATATTTCATCATTTAGATAAAGTTTAACATGAGTTTCTCTTCCATGACAATCTGTGTTGTTCTTACAGTCGGATCTACTGGGAATAAAGGTGGATTCCCAAGTTAAGCATGGAATATATAATAAATAGATCTTTGAACTGGTTTCATTTGAATCAGTTACGTCATTAGTTATATTTCCAATTTTCAAAAAAGGTTAATGTTAAGTTAAATTTGCCAACATTTTACATAACCTAAAATAAATTAATGATAATAACCAAAAGCAACGATCATATAATCTGAATATACATTAGCAGTATGAAAGGATAGTGGTGGTGGTCGATTTTTCCAGAAGATTGTAATGTAAAATATTGATAAGGTTCGAATCTAACATCCAATTTTAATAAATTTGGATAAACAGTTGTTTGATTTAATTGATAACTTGAAGTTCCACCCATTATAATAATTGAATTATTATCTGGTGTTAATACTGCTGTATGTCCGACTCGTGGTTGAATTGAAAATGAAGCGTTTGCAGTCTATAAAGAATATAACTTAAGTATAAATAAATACTAGATACCAATATATTAAAAGACTAATTATTAAAAAACACATACGTACATGCAATGACCAGGATAAAGAAATTGTATCAAAAATTTGGATCTACGATAAAAATTTGTATGTAGTGATAAATAAACATAGCATAAGCTATAATAAGAATAGTAATTTACCTCCATCATGTTGATTAAATTAGTTTGGCTTCCGGGAGTGTCCTGAGAGACACCTCCAATATAAATAATTTTTTCATTTGGAAGCAATGTTGCGGTGCTATGGCTTCGAGGTGAAGGGGTATTTTCTACCATTATTTGATTCCATGACAAAAATATTGTATCAAATTCATACAAATCATTATATAAAATAAGCATATCTGACCCCATATCTTGCTCTACCCTCCCACCAAATATATATATTGTTCCATTAGGTTTGATTACTGTTGAGGTTGACCTACGTCTTGAAGGTTGAGTCCCTTTAATTCCTTGTTCAAGTTTTGTCCAAATTTTAGGAATAGTACTATAAATGTAAATAAATTGGTCCGTAACGTTCCAATTTATAATTTGGTCAGTAACATTCCAATTTAATGTTGATAGATTCAGCTGCGTTCCACCGATCAAGTAGACATCAGATTTATCAGATCCCCCAAGAACTGCAGCTCCTAATTCACATAATAATTAATATGAATATGGTTATAATTAATGGAACTTAGAATGAATAATTGAAAAATCATATTAGCCTTTTTCATTTCCATAAAGCATTTGTGAAGTACCATTAGTAAGATCTACAAATGGTGGATTTCTATTATTGAATTGTGATGAAAGGTCTAGATAAAATACTTCGTTTGATAAATTATATCTTTTCGGATTTGACTGAAGGATTAGGCGGGAACCTCCCATAAAATATAATTTGTCATTTACTTGAACTGATTCATGTCCACCACGGCCCTCAGGATGACCTTCAGGAAAACAATAAGTTCGAATTATTATACCTAAGATAGTGAATGAAATAAAAAAAATTTTCATTGCTTTGTGAATATTAAAAACAAAATAAATTAATGAATGCGGTAGAGGTGGTTTTGTGAATGTATTACATTTCGGAAGTTAATTCCGGAATTCTGTACGTATATATACATACGTATCATAGCGATAAATGGAACTTCATTTAAAGTAGCACATACGTGATTTGTATCTTATGTTTTCAAATTTAGACTTAAAATCACCTTGAAAAAAAATATTTTTTATTAGGTGAATCAAGATTACATTTCCCCTTTTTCTTTTCTACTATGTCGCACAACCGGATATTTTTCGTAATTCGGAATTTTAAGTAGTTAAAATGGAATTATATTGACTCAATTCGGGACTCAGACCGCTATAGTTTAAACCAAACCCGTTTAAACTAATAGGCTTATTATGTCTGTTGATACGTCATAAAACCCTAAACTCTACATAAACAGTTTGTAACTTTTACATAATGTATTTAATAATCAAAATACTAATGACTCTAGTTAACTGGCTTTATAAACCAGTTTTATTAGTTAACTGCTAGGTTGTAACTAATATGGCTCTTTCTTAAGCGGTCGACAATGGGCAATAAAAAATTAAATTCGTATGTAGGGTTTAGCTATGCTTTTTATTATGCAAAAGCAGATTTTACCCTTCTACATAGTTGATTTTACTAATTTACAGCGCGGGTTTCATCCGTAGCAAGACAATCAAGTTCTTGCTCTCTAATAAAGCCTTCTATATTAAGGTTGCCGTCCGTAAATAGTAATTACGGACATTACTAATTACAACTAATGCTCAAAGTTGTAAATATATTATGGGTTTCTATCGATT